AGGAGGCCCTGGGTGTGAGAGTCTACCGGCTGGAGAGCTGGGAAGAAGCCAGGATGCTCTCCCCACAGACACGCAGGGACCACTGCAGAGTCATAAAGTCATTCCCATCGTTTCCTCATGAGACAGTCACATCAGGGTGTGACCATGGCCTTGGTGTCCCCCTCTAGGCATGGAGATACTTAGGTTCAGAAAAGCCAGCAAGAGACATGACGTTTCTGAGGGCGCAACTGGAAATGCTTTCTTTGTTTTTTGATTTTCTTCTTCTTTATTTTTTTATTTCTTTATTTCATATGGTGTCTCACTCTGTTGCTAAGGATGGAGTTCAGTGGTGTGATATTGGCTCACTGCAACCTCCCCCTCCGGGGTTCAAGAGATTCTCCTGTCTCAGCCTCCTGGATAGCTGGGATTACAGGCATGTACCGCCACATCATGCTGAGTTTTGTATTTTTAGTAGAGACGGGGTTTTGCTATGTTGGTCAGGCTGAACTCCTGACCTCCTCAAACTCCTGACCTCGATAGATCCACCTGCCTCGGCCTCCCAAAATGGTGGCATCAGAGACATGAACTAATGTACCTGGCCTTCATCTTCCTTCTTTGACGGGGTTTTGCTCTGTCACCCAGGCTGGAGTGCAGTGGTGCAGTCACAGCTCACTGCAGCCTCAGAGCCCTGAGTTCAAGCGATCCTCCTGCCTCAGCCTTTCAACCTCCTGGGATCTCAGGCATGAGCCATGCACCTGGCCTGAAACCAAGCTTTCTTACCCCAATCCCAGACCTTGATAAAGTCTAGCTGAATCGTCTGTGGCCTCCTAAGTCCCTCATGAGAGATCACTTCTGAGTCCTCCAGCATGGAGAGCTCACCCGCTGGGGAAGCATGTATTTCCCATGGGAAAGTATGGTTATGGGAAGTTTCCACTTCTTTAAAAGAACAGGATTGGAGGTGCTCTCTGGGGTGTCCTCTTACCAAGCAGCCTGTTGAAGGCCTGGTGGTGCTCAGGGAGCACGGGTGACACTCGCCGTCGCTTTAGTTTCATCTTGAGCCCCTGAAGCGTCTCCAGCACCCAGGTCTCCTCAGGCTCAGGGGTGCGCTCCTCTGTCTCCTCCTCGGGCTCCTCCTCAGATTCATCCGACCACTCCCTCTTCCTTTTATGGCAAAGGAACCAAGGCGAACTGGGACCTTCCCAAGGAGATGAGTAAAGAAAGCAGGCCACCGTGTAACACTTCTGCAATTGATCACCTCAGACCCTGACCCAAAACCCCAAAGCACTCTCCATCCACCTCAGCCCCACAGACTGTTGGCCTCTCCCTTGCTGAACCCCATGTGCCTCTCCTCCTCCTTCCCATTCTTCCATCTGTCTGTCCTCAGAACGCCTCTTCATTTCCTTCCCTGGTCCCTGGCTTGCTCAGCCCC